TGCCCCTGACTTTATTATCAGTACTTCAAGGGTTTCCATAATGCTGACTTTTCAGTTGGGATTGTGTGTATCTTATATTAAGGAAGTTGTATAGTATTTATTTCAAAATTAAAAAAAAATTAAGTATTAAATTGACAGAAAAGTTGCAAAGGCAGTACAAAGAATTGTTTTTTTCCTATACTATTTTGAGGAGTTGTCAACCAACCTTATGTCCCATTGCCTCCCTCCAAATACTTAAGTGTTGATTTCCTACAACCAAGTACTAGCCTGTGTAGCCATCAAAATCAGGATTAACACTGAAAACTTTAATGCTGTCTAATCCTCAGACCCCCATTCACATTTTGCCATTTGTCCCAATAATGTCATTGTACGGCCACATATAGACCCATTTGTTTTTAATGTCTCTTTTAGTTTCCCTTGGTCTAGAACAGTTTTTCCTATAATTTTCATTAATTAACACTTCTGAAGATTATACAAAAGTTGATTTGAAAGTTCCTTCAGTTCAAGTTTGCCTGATGGTCCCTTATGATTGGTTTCAGGTTATGCATCTTTAGCAGGAGTATCACAGAGGTATTTACTGATCACAAAGGCACATCATAGATATTCCTATTATTTTTCTTTGTTTTTCCAGGCACACCCATCTTCTTTGTAATCATTTTATTTAACAGCTTCTGGGCCTGTTTTTTTTTTTTAATTTCAGATTAATATGAGAGTACAAACGATTAGGTTGCAGTGTTTGCATCTGTTAGGTAAAGTTCCTGTTGCAGTTGTATCCTGCACCCAGGAGGTGTGCCATATACCCTTACATTGTGCCCATTAGGTGGAAGCACTGCAATCCCCTTTCCCCTTTCCTTCTTTCCCCCAACTTGCATTGAATCGAGTTTTTCTCTTGTGTGGGGTAGGTCTGTTTTTAATATTAGTATTCAGCCAATCCACTATATTAATAGCATAGAGAAGCCAAGTATAGTATAGGGAAGTAGTAGATTGGAGACTGGGTTACAATAATGACTTTAGAGCATTATAAACTAAAGTTTCAGAATCGTCTGGGACCAATGATGGTGACAGAAATACAAAACAAGCCAAAGAGTACAAAGACAATATTATTATTGATAATATTACTGAGAATATAATCACTTTGAATGGTTCATTGCATTGATTAGATTATTACTGTTTTATTAAAGCCACTTTAAAGAGTATTTAAAATTCTGTGCCAAAGCATTGTCTGACCAAGCAAGTTGGGCTGTCATTTTCTTTTGACATGGCTTTAATTTTTATCAGCTTTAAATACATTATCATTACTATTCTGCTATATAATATAATTATTTCATTGCAGAATAGATAACTTCAAAAAAGGGTATTATCATTGTCGTATAAATAGATATTGTGGATATTTGATGCTTTTTCCTCTGTATACAATTGAGTTGTTTTTAAACTATTATTTCAGTAAGATATATTTGTATGTATATATATAATATATAAAATATTTCTTTTAGATTATAATGGATATTTTAAGAGCTCATTGAAATGAAAACAAAAGCAAAGCCCTACCTGTATTTTTTTTTTTTTTTTTTTTTTTTTTTTTTTTGAGACAGAGCCTCAAGCTGTCCCCCTGGGTAGAGTGCCATGGCATTACAGCTCACAGCAACCTCCAACTCCTGGGCTCAAGCGAGTCTCCTGCCTCCACCTCCCAAGTAGCTGGGACCACAGGCACCTGCCACAACGCCCGGCTATTTTTTGGTTGCAGCCGTCATTGTTGTTTGGCGGGTCCGGGCTGGGGATTCGAACCCGCCACCTTAGGTGTACGTGGCTGGCGCCCTAGCCGGTTGAGCTATAGGCGTCGAGCCGGCAAATTGGATTTTATGTTCATTGTGGTAATACTGAAGGTGTAGAAATCAGTGTCATTCAGACTAAGTAGAATTAAGTTTAATGGCTCACTAAACCTAAGTTGAACTATCTCCACTACTCCTTAGGCATGTGGTAAGGTCATCTTTAAATTTAAACTTCTTGCTTACTTAAGTGGAAAGCACTACTAACGTATAAATAACATTGTTTATCTGTCTTTGTGGATTAATGTAATAGAAATGGGAGGGCTGTATGTGAGAATAGTAAATTTGATGGCTATTCTTGAGGGCCTTTAACTACCAAACTTTAGAGTTGTTGTGGTTTACTTTCATAATTAGTATTCTCAACATTCCTTAAATGAAAGGTATTATTTAAATTCTAAATGTCTTTTTAATTATTTTAGAGAGCAGCTCTTTTCTTCCCCTGTGTTTTACTGAAGGTAAAAGTTGTTTGCAGTTTGTTTTATGTTAAAATGCAGTGCTCAAGAAAAGAAAAATTAAAAAAATAAATAAATAAAATAAAATGCAGTGTTCAGTAATTCTTTGATGGGGGGCAGGAATAAGCAGAAGACCATTGTCTCTGATTTTCCTTTTTTTAGCTTTAACTTTCTTTGTCCTGCATATCATATTTCCTAAAAGTGGGTTGTACAAAGGGTGGGGATTAAGAAAAGGTTTATAAAGGAGGTGCAGGATAAAGTCATAAAATGAATCCCTCATAAAATGTAAATGTGTGATTTTTTTTTTTTTTTTGAGACAGTCTCATCTCACTTTGACACCATTGGTAGATTTAAGAACTGGTTTTACTTTCTCCTTTTTGTATAAAAGGGAATCCTCTTGATGGCATAAAAGACAAAACACTTGAGCAAACTATACGGTACACGTGGCCCCTGTTTGTGTTTATGTTGGTTGTTTTAGATTATATACCCTCAGAGGATAGGGACAGCCAATTATAACAGCCCTAGTCTGAAGTACAATGTATACCAATGCCCTTTCTTTTTATCCTTAAGCCAATCTCTCCCTTTGCAGCCAATGCTTTTTTTTTATTCTTATATACTTTGTAATAGATATGTAAAGGAAGTGGTTTTACATCTTACTGTTCTAACTTCCAAAGCTTTTTTCCTCAACTGAGTTTTAAAAAAAAATTTATTTGGTCTAAACTGAGTTTTGTCTTTTTCTCCCCTACTCAGGCACAGATTGCCTTTCTTCAAGGGGAAAGAAAAGGTCAAGAAAATTTGAAGAAGGATCTTGTGAGGAGGATCAAAATGTTGGAATATGCTCTTAAACAGGAAAGGTAATTCAGTAAAATGAAAGCTAGCATTCTCTTAAATGTTGGATTAATTTTCTCATCATTCCTAAAGTCAGATTTTAATACTATATTGTATACTCTTGAGTTCAGGAGTATCTATGATAAACATTTTTATTAATGGTTGCAATACGTTAATTTTGTAATGAATAGTTTAACAATAATGATCAAAAACTGGAAAATTTTAGCAATATTTCTTTAAAATTCTGTCCTTTTGTAAGAAACATGTTTGCTTTCTAAGCTGTTAACATCCATTTTCTTTTCAGAGTTGAGACAATTTGTGAATTGTGAGAATTTCTGTATTGCTTATTCCTTTTTCTTGTCATTTAATGTTATTCAATTTGATGTGTTTTATTAAGGCAAAAATTGTTCTGGCAGACTACATTGAGTATCTTTATAGACTTCTTTTTGTACTTTGTCTCTTTGCTTTCACCTGTTTCTGTCTCTCCGGAAGCAAATCTTACCCTTCTACTTTGCTACTGTTTAAGATACTCAAGTAACTAAATTTCGGTTATAAGTAAAGGAAAATAGGTCATGAATGAGAGTTTTAGAAGTTCTCATATAAAATTAAGTTTATTTGCTTTAGTAGATAGTCTTTGGATTATTTTTGTTATCAGTCTGAAACAGTTCATTGTTTTAGATAATTGAGTTCTTGATAATATTGAAGTTTTCCATTTTGCTACATTTTGCTTTGTATTGAAGATCACTTGTTTTTCTCATGGGGGGGTTGGTGAATGGGCTGTTGGCAAAACTACCATAAAATAGAATTTAGCAGATGATATTTATTTTTATAAATATTAAGAAATAGATACTTTACTAGAACTTGTGTTCACTTTCATATAGGATCTTTATTTTTTGGAGACAGAGTCTCACTTTGTTGCCATTGGTAGGTGCTGTGGGGTTACAGCTCACAGCAACCTCAAACTCTTGAGCTCAAGTGATTCTCTTGCCTCAGCCTCCCAAGCAACTGGGATTACAGGTGCCTGCCACAACGCCTGGCTGTCTTTTAGAGACGAGGTCTTACTCTGGCTCAAGCTGGTCTTGAACCTGTGATCTCAAGCAATCTACTCACCTTGGCATCCCAGAGTGCTAGGATTATAGATGGAAGCCACTGTGCCTGGCCAGGATCTTTATTTTCTTTCATATTTTTATTTTTTAAGTTTTTTCTTTTTTGTTGAGACAAAGTCTCACTCAGTTGCCCTGGGTAGAGTGCTGTGGCAACCTCAAACTCTTGGGCTCAAGCACTCTTCCTGCCTCAGCCTCCTGAGTAGCTGGGACAATAGGTTCCTGCTCTAACACCAGCTAGTTTTTCTATTATTAGATCTCACTTTGCTCGGGCTGGTCTTAACTCCTGAGCTCAGGAAATCAACCCGCCTCAGCCTCTCAGAATACTAGGATTACAGATGTGAGTCACTGTGCTTGGCCTTTTTTTTTTTTTGAGACAGATTCTCACTTTGTCAGCCTTAGTAGAGTGATAGAGTGCCATGGCGTCACAGCTTACAGCAACCCCAAACTCTTGGGCTCAAGCAATTCCCTTGCCTCAGCCTCCCAAGTAGCTGGGGCTACAGGCGTCCTCCACAAGGCCCAGCTATTTTTAGAGATGAAGTCTCGCTGTGGCTCAGGCTGGTCTGGAACCTGTGAGCTTAGGTGATCCACCTGCCTTAGCCTCCCGGAGTGCTAGGATTACAGACGTGAGCCACCACCCTCAGTCTTTATTTTCTTTAAAAAAAAAAAAAAATTATTTCAGATTAACATGAGGGTACAAATGATTAGGTTACATTGCTTACATTTGTTAGATGAAGTTCAAGTTATAGTTAAGGTTGAGCCCTTCACCCAGGGAGTATGCTGTATACCCTTACATTGTGCCCATTAAGTGGGAGGATACCTATCCCCTCTCCCCTACTTGAATTTAATTGTCTTTTTTTTCTCACGTGGGTATGTAGTTGTTTATTGATTTCGTATTAGTATTGAGCACGTTGGACATTTGTTTTTCCATTCTTGTGACATTTAACTAAGAATAATGTGCTTCAACTCCATCCAGATTAATACAAAGGTGTAAAGTCTCCATCTTTTTTAATGGATGGATAGGGTTCCATGGCATACATACACCACAGTTTATTTTATTTTATTTTTGAGACGGAGCCTCAAGCTGTCCCCCTGGGTAGAGTGCCATGGCATCACAGCTCACAATAACCTCCAACTCCTGGGCTCAAGTGAGTCTCCTGCCTCAGCCTCCCAAGTAGCTGGGATTACAGGCGCCCACCACACGCCTGGCCATTTTTTGGTTGCAGCCATCATTGATTGGTGGGCCCGGGCTGGATTCGAACCCTCCACCTTCGGTGTATGTGGCTGGCGCCTTAGCTGCTTAAGCCACAGGCGCCAAGCCCACCACAGTTTATTAATCCATTCATGTGTTGATGAGCAGTTGGATTGATTCCACATCTTGGCAATTGTGAATTGAGCTGTGATGAAGAACATTCTAATGCAAATGTCCTTATGCTAAAATGATTTTTTTTCCTTCTGAGTAGAAGGTAATGGGATTATGGGATCAAATGGTAGGTTTGCTTTTAGCTTTTTGAGGATTCTCCATACTTCTTTCCATAGAGGCTGTATTAGTTTGCAATACCACCAGCAGTGTAAAAGTGTTCCGCTCTCTCCACATTCACACCAGCATCTGCAACTTTGGGACATTGTGATGTGGGCTATTCTCTCTGGGGTTAGGTGATATCTCAGAATGGCTTTGATTTGCATTTCTCTGATGATTAGGGGACAATGAGCATTTTTTGGTGTGTTTGTTGGCCATTCGACTCTCTTTTTCAGAACAGGTTCTGTTCAGGTCTCTTATCCACTTATAATTGGGATTGTTTGCTCTTTTCTTGTTGCTGAGTTTGAGTTCTCTGTAGATTCTAGTCATTAGCCCTTTATCAGATTCGTAGCATGCAAACATTTTCTCTCATTCTGAAGGTTGTCTGTACGCTTTAGTTGTTGTACCCTTAGCTGAGCAGAAGTTTTTTAGCTTGATCATGTTCCTTCCTTTATTTTTGGTGTTGCTGCAATTGCCAAGGGGTTCTTCATAAAATCTTTTCCCAGGCCAGTATTTTCCCACACTTTCTTCTAGAACTTTTGTTTTGTGTCTTGAATTTTAATCTTTTATACAGCAAGTCAATTTTTGGTAAGTAGTGAGAGGTGTGGATCCAGTTAACATCTTCTACATGTGGCTAACCAGTTCTCCTGCCACCATTTATTGCATATGGATTCTTTTCCCAGTGTGTGCTTTTGTTTAGTTTATCGAAGATCAGATGGTGATATGTGGCTGGGTTCAGCTCTGAGTTCTCTATTCTGTTCCATAGATCTGTTTCTTTAGTTTTGTGCCTGTACCCTGCTGTTTTGATCACTATAAACTTATAGTTCATATAAGATCTTTAAATGGCACAAGAGATGGAACATAGGTGAACTTCAGTGAAAAGGGTTTTTTCATACCTTGAGAGGGTGATTAAAAATTATATTAGTGGGCT